ATTTGTTGGGCGATTGGTTCTTGCTTTGTTTGTTTTCATAGTTTCTTGTTGGTGATTCTTTCCGGCCATCTGATCTTCAGTGTAGAGCGAAGACAGTTGTTAATAAAGGTCTGCAACCTTTTGGATGTATTCTTTGTGACCCTCCAATTTTCTGATCCGTTGCGTATAGAAGAACTGACTGAGTTGACGTTTGGATTGAAAATCCGACTGAATCTTGTTGATACTGGCAGAGTAACGAAGATTTTCAGATTACTTTCAGGTTGGTGAATGTGTTTCTCGTCCCCCCACCCGATTCTCGCTCGATTTGACATTCTCGTCCGTTCGTATTGCCTGTAGTTGTGACAATGCTCAATGCTAGATAAGTGAATGAAGTAACCTCTTTCAAATTTCTCCCGTTGATGGTGATTGACGCTGGATGTTGCTGCTGTTGTTGTTGGTTGGTTATTTTCATAACCTCCGTCTTGTCTATGTTCACTTGGAGTCCTGTCTTTCTTGCTTCTTCGACCAGTTTGTCGGTTTTCGCTTGTAAGTCTTCGATTGTGTGTGACATCAAACATAAATCATCCACGCGCGAAATCCAGGTCTTCTAGGTTCTTCACGTCGGTCCAGGATATCCCTGTCTTCTCGTTTCCCACTGTCTGACGCATAATCCAGTCCACCACAATTAGGAATATCATTGGTGATAGTAAGCACCCTTGTCTGACTCCTGTGTTTACTCCAAACGCCTCGCTGAGTCTTCCGTTGTGGATCACTTGACATGTGCCGTTGTCGTACAGCTGTTGAATAAGGTTGATGAATATTTGGGGTACGCCGTAGTACTCGAGTAATTTCCAAATTACTTCACGATCAACGCTGCTGTCGAAGGCCTTCTCAAAGTCTATAAAGTTGAGGTAGAGGTTTGATTGCCATTCCATGCTTTGTTTTGTGATGATGATGCGTAGAGTTGCAATTTGGTCAGTACATGATTTGCCTTTCCTGAATCCAGCTTGTTCTGGTCGGAGTTCTGTCTCCAGTGCGTCCTTTAATCTCTCCAGGATGATGCGACTCAGGATTTTACTTGGCGTCGATCGGAGCATGATTCCTCGCCAGTTCTTGCAGAGTGAGGCGTAAGTCGCCCTTCTTTGGTAGTTTCACGAGGTAACCTTTCCTCCAGTCAGTAGGCACCTTTCCCTCCTTCCAGACCTTTTGCAATAATGGAGTCAGCATGTCTGCTGTAGTCTCTGGGTCCGCTTTCAGTGCTTCAGGGGGTATTCCATCTGGTCCGGCTGCTTTTCCAGCTTTCAGAAACTTGATTGCGTTCAAGACTTCAGCTCTCGTTGGAGGATTGGTGTCAACTTGCAGTTGTGTACGCGCTGTTGTTGGTATTTCTGGACGGGTTGCAGGTGATGGTCGGTTCAAGAGTCCTTTGAAGTGATCCGCCCATTGTTTAATCTGTTTTTCTTCCTTGGTAATTGGGTTCCCTTGGCTGTCTTTTATAGGTTTCGCTTGTGTTGATCTCTTCCCGGATAGAGATTTGGTTATCTGATATAGTGTCCTCAGGTCCCTTTTGCCTGCTGCCTTCTCAGCTTCAGTGGCCAGGTTGTCGTAGAATCGTCTTTTGTCCTTCCTAGCACTCTTCTTCACTTCTTTGTCCAGTGCTTTGTAAGTTGAGCTCAGCGTCTCCTTCTCCTGTCCGTCCTTGCATTGAATCATTTTCTCTTTCACCATTCTCCTCTCTTCTATTAATTTCCAAGTGTCCGTTGAGAGCCATTCCTTGTCTTGTCTCTTCTTTCTTCCTAGAACCGTTGAACACGTTTCGTTGAGAATCGCCTTCAGAGACTTCCAATGTTCTTCCACGCATGATTCTTCAGTGATGTCGCGTAGTGTTTCCTGCTTTGCTCTGACAGTTGCAGTGAAAGTGTCTTTTGTGGTTGTGTCCTTCAGTTTCTGAGTGTTGAACTTGCATTGTGGCCTATCCCCAGCTATCCTCGAGGCTTTTAGTTTCACCTTGAAAGTCCCTTCTACTAGATAGTGGTCTGAACCCACATCTGCTCCTCTCCTTGACCTTGTGTCCAGTAGGCTCCGTCTCCACTTTCTTGAAATTGAGATGAAGTCTATTTGATTCTTGGTGTTTCCATCTGGTGAAATCCATGTCGTCTTGTGTATATCCTTGTGTTTGAACACACTACCACCAATCACCAAATCATTGAAGGCGCAGAAGTCTGAGAAGAGTTCACCATTGTCGTTCATTTCACCGAGGGCCTCACGACCCATGGTGAGTTCTCTTCCTGTGTTGTCTCGTCCCAGCTTCGCATTCATGTCGCCCATCAGGATTTTGATATCGCCATTTGGGACGTTGTCCATTATTGCTTGTAGTTGTCTGTAGAACGCCTCCTTCTTCTCTTGTTCTGAGACGTTTGTAGGCGCATAGCATTGAATGACTGTAACTTTCCTTCCTTTTGAGTTGAACCTGGCTGTCATTATCCTGGAGGAGATTGGTTCCCACTGCATGAGAGCTTTGGTTGCTGTTGGTGACATCATGATGGCCACTCCCTCGGTGTGCTCGTGGTTGTCCTCTGGGTGGCCGGAGAAGATTATTGTCTCTCCAGTTGGCAGTTAACAGCCATTTATGTCATCATTATTAGTTGCACCATTACTGTGCAACTTTACCAAAATAAAATCTTATCCATAATGGAGTTAGACTCTACCAAGTAGTGCTTAAGTTTAACACTTGTATAAGTGGCAAGGCTACTTTAAATTTTCATAGCTATTACCAGATGAAATTTTTCTGCATATATTCTGTGCTAAAATAATTCACGGCATATACAAATGAATCATTACCAAGCAAATAAAGTGATCTTTACTCTACTGTTTTGGCAAATGTGTTTAATTTATCCGCCAATTAGTTTTACTACATTCTGGCAAGTAAATTGTGTGCATATCCAAATGAAGTTGACAGTGAGAGAAAAAAGGTGACACCTAATATCAGTAAATAAGCTTAACTCTTCATTTTATTTTAAGACGAATTGTATTCATAAACACACACACACATACAGGCACAACTTTACACACAACCACTTAGGGTGAAATTTCCATATTTTACAAACAAAGCTTACCAAACGAAAGTGAATAAACGAGGAAGTTCAATAATAGCTGCCCCCCTAGAGGTGCGAACACTCCAATGACCTTGAACGAATGCTAATCGTTGTTTTTTAACGGCATCTGTTATTATCACATAAATGAAATATCAACGCTATTCTACCAAACAAGAAGAAGCTAATTTCACCATGATCACGTTTTTAAGTAGTGTTTGGATAGTGTGTTATTAGCTCCTCAGGGTTAGGATTAGGGATAAGGTAAGCACTGGGGTTAAAGTTAGACTTACAGTTATGATAAAGGTTTTAATTGAGGTCAGTGTTAAGGTTAGGGTTACGGTTAGGGATAGATTTATAGTTGATGTCATTTATTTTTACCTGTTATATTATCTACATTTTCCTGGTAAGTAGTCGTTTATCCTCTTACTGCAAACCATAGTAATTTAACTGAGAACTTTTGGGGAAGACTGGGCAACAGGATAAGAGAGATAAGCGATTCACAGAAAACAGCTCATTTTTCAGTCACCACCTCGGTGAATGCATGTAGAGTAATTAGTCGAACTTAGCAGCTGATACTCCTCACTGTAAATGGGACCTATTTTTTCTTCAAGTAATGTCAGGAAAGCATACCCTGTTTAGTGTGTTTTCATGTATTTTCTTGTAAGAATATACGTCATTTTTTGTGCAAAGGTTACTTCTTTTTATGAGTGGTCTCTTGAAGGTCACTTGTGCATTCACATCCCTTTTGTGGACGGTATTTTTGAACTTTACCGAAAAAAAGGTCTAGTGTACGGAAACAAACAATGAAAACTTGATTGAATTTTATTTTAGAGGAGTTCATTTCCGCTGACTCAATCACTTTCAATCTAAGTTACTAATGAACACATAAAAGACACTTAGAAGATCTGGACTTCATAGAGGATTTTTGTGACATATCGGTGCAACTCAAAGATTTATACATGTAGTAGAACACCAAACACCTGGCAGAAAAGATAGAAAAGATAGGCATTCAGGTGAACATAGACAAGACAGTCGTTAAAAAGATACTTAATAAACAAAAATGTGTCAACCATCATCATTGCAAAAAATATGATAGGGAAATCGTCTCTTTTTAAGGTACTTTCACAGCATTTTACGCGCAGGCCATACAAAAGAAAATGTTGAAGCTAGAATTACAAAGGCGATACAGGCGTTTAGAGTTGGCGCCTCACAATAATCAACTCTTACATCTGTCTTCGCTGTATGTTGAAGATCAGTTTTCTGGTCAGATTGAATAACTGAGAAGCAGGGAAGTCTGCTGGAAACCAGCCAACAAGAAACTGCACCATATTTATTCCCTAAGAAAAATGGTAGTTAAACAAACCTTCGAGTAACGATATACGACAGACGTTGTTCCAGTGAAACTCGAATGAGAAGCAACTAGTTCTTCGTCAAACACTGGCAAAAAGAATTCTTTTCAGAAGTCATACAGTCAGTTGAAAAAACACATAATGTTAAGCTGAAAGCTTGAGTTTTACTCAAAATCCACTCACACCTACCTTTGCAGATGTCATCATACACTTTCACTGTAAGATAACTGGAGTAATCGTCAAAAATAAAAGAAAGAAAAATTACCTTCCTTTCTCCTATTCTGAGGAAGAATTACGACAGTAACTTTCCTCAGTTAGTCGTAACTCGTTTATGTTGCGACAGTCTTTTAGAGACAATCAATTATGATGAATTTATATGCCAAAAAGGTCAGTCAGTGGCTTGCAATCAGTACACATAAGTGATAAGAAAATACGGCCCCCTTAAACGTATATTGATTTATTTTCCATTAGTCTTATTATTATTACTCATGGACACGTTTAACTTTGCTTCCTGAAATCATCTCTTAGCGTAATTAACCTTTTCAGTGCTTTTCTTTCTTTATTTGGTTTTCTGTAGTCAGCGGCTGCTCTTTGCATCAGAGTTGGTTCATTTTGTGATCCAGAAGAAGCACAAGGACTGTCACATCTCTTGGAGCATAGTATGTTTTTATAAATACTTAATTTTGCGCCATTACTATTGTTATCATTATCATCATTAATATTATTCCTTTTGCCTCCATGTGGAACATAAGACCTCCATATCATCTTGTCCACTGAAGGCTTTAAATAGCTTGTTTCATGATCTCTCATAGATCCTCAAGCTTTCTTCAAGCAATCTCTTCTATATCCCTTTCTGATCCAGTTACAACTCATGGTAATCTCCTATTCTAGTTCCACTCAAAAGCCCGGCGCGTGATGTCACTCAATAGCCTCTTAGGCATATTTCCATCTATTATTATTATTCCCGTGGGTTCCTAGTGGAACGTAGGGCTTCAACTGCACGTCTCCACTTGCTTCTGTCTTCTGCTGTACTTTTCACCTGCATCCATGTTAGTCCATGCTGTTTCAACTCCTCTTCACACGATCTCCTCCATGTCACCCTTGGACGTCCCACTCACGTGCGGTGTCACCCAGCGGCCTCCGAAGCGAGAGTCCAATCCATCTCCACTTTCTTCTGCATATTTGTTGGGTGATTGGTTCTTGTTTTGTTTGTGTGTTCCCACAGTTTGTTGTTGGTGATTCTTCCCGGCCATCTGATCTTCAGTATAGAGCGAAGACAGTTGCTGTTGATAAAGGTCTAAGATAGCCTGTTGGAAATATTTTTTGCGACCGGCCAAGTTTCTGATCCGTATAGAAGAAGTGACTTGACGTTGTTTGTAATAAAAATCCGACCGAATTTTGTTGTTGATGCTGAGTGACGATATTTCCATTTAGTTCTGCTTATCTATTAGGTGACAGGTTCTTGACTGGTTCGTTGCGGACTATCATTCCATGTTGCTAATCCCCTCTGATCGTCCATTTGAATACGGCTGCAGTTGAAAGTTTGAAGTGTGTTCGGAATGCTGTTGTTGACACGCCAAGTCTTTGATACATTCAGAAGAACTGTTAAGATTGACCTTTGTGTAAGGTGGATACGCAGACTGGCTTCAGATGTTTACCGACCTTGTCTTCGACTGCTTGTATTTGATCAAAGAGGGTCACCTTGTTTAGATTTACCCCTTTCAAAAAAGTATAAGTGTGGCAGAAAACTGTGGAAAATGTGTTTTTAAAAATAGTTTATTTTTAACTATTGTGTAGCCTAATCGTTGAATTCTCACTTCTCAGCTTTTCTCACATGTCTAACAGTAAATTCTCCATCATCTGACTACTAACCAGTAGAGAAAGATCAATAGTAGCAAACGATTCTACATCAAAAAAGAGAAATATAATTCATTGAGTAGTGATCGTATGACGACAATTTTTAAAATAAAAGGCACAAGGTATCAAAAGAGTTCAGATTAGAATTCGGATGATACGGTCTACTGATGGAAGTTGGAATTAATCACGTCACTCTACTTAAAAAAAGATCAGTTGACATATATACTTAATAATAGTTACTCAGCTGCCTTGGTGTTTGGTATAACCTGATCGTTTTATACGTATATATATACAAATAGAGTGAGCCGAGATCACGCGACAACCGAGTGATATTCTTTTGGTGTGACTGAAAATGATTTCAAGCGTAGGCGACAAAAACATTTAGACTATGGGATTCATGAGGATTTGGATGAATTTTGATTTCAACTATTAGATCGATGAGAATTAGAGATTACTAGACAGATGTTTTGTCATAGTTTAGGAATCTTCAGTGATCAATGCTGGAACCTAGATGTTATAACATCAAGCACTTTGATCTTTCAGCCATTTCAAGTGCTCGTGAATGCCCCTGATTTCTAACTCTTTTTTTAATTCGTAACAAATTGAATATCAATCTCATTCTTGTCAGCAACCGCCTTTTTCATGTAGATAGTTATCTGGATTCCAGTGAGAAGTCGTGATTAGTGAAGTACAGCAAGTCGGGTGTGAGGAAAAATACCGGCCACCGATGAAATTGTCTAGTGCCTGCTGCGCTATATCGCAAACTGGCAGAAGTTGGGATTCATGGGTCATTAGGGGCCTAACGGTCTAGGAGATTGCTTTGTAACCGGAAGGTCAATGACTCAAACCTCCCAAACCAAGACGAAACAGATGTCTAGTACTTGCAGCTGGTTTTTCAATGGCTCTTTAACCGATGATAGCTCATGAAGATATCCTGTAACCAATCAAGTCAAAATCTCCATACCAACACTTGAACTTAGATTATAAGTTTTCATAGAGATATGTAATAATTTCAATGTAGATTTCGTCCTTCTCTGAAATTCTTCATCAGCTGGAATCCACAATCTCACGAATTTTATAAATATCAACCTCCAGTTCATTGATAGATGTTGGTTTTCTTGAGGTTGTACTTAGAAGTCATGACCTGTGAGGTCAACTATGTCAACGTGAAGCTGATGCTCATCAAAGCCACTGACGAAGGTTGCGCTTTATCGTGAACTGACAAATTCAGAACTCATTGGTCATTCAATACCTGTCCAATTGGATATATTGTCAGAGAATTTGGTCTTGTAACCTTGTTCGATCCAAAGACTACATTCTTGACTTATAAAAATAAGTTTCAGTTCCCTTTTACTTTCTACTGATAGTATATCCGTGTGTTAAACGGTCGATTACTGACAACTGAAAGTCCACTGTGGCAATAAATCTACCAAAGGGTCGACCAAATGTCAGACTTTACTGACAGTATTAAGCAAACTTCAGCACTTAGGAATAAATTGCTTGCACTGCTTGCACCGAACTGAATAAACTTATTACTAGATATTTCTGATTAACTAACTGGTTTCAACGTAGAAATTCGCACCGATATGCAGCACTTCAAGTCGTTACACTCCATGTAGCACACAAAGCAAGAGAAGGAATTTGAAGAAATGTACAACAGAGACATTACACAGAGATATGAGGCAAAAAGAAATGTAATATTGAAGAACAATATAGTTTCATTGAGTATTATAGGTCACAAGGAGTGAATGCATCTGCGCTATTGAGAACAATTTTGAGCCATATCATCAACTTTCCCCTGCTTTAATTGTTTTTGCCGTCCCAAGGATTGGATTCCATTGACTGATGCCATGTTTTGACTTGACCACCGCTAGCTGGCTATTGTCCAACCTGATCCTTCCTATATCAGCAGCTAACATTTTCAGTTGTCGGGGAAGGCGATGGTTACGCAAGCGTAACACATTTCTTAACCATCTCAGCTGATGTGACTTCTTATCCTCGTTGATCGATTTTCACAGTTTACCTAGCACTCGACCGATGCTGAAACACAAAATCACTCACGTTATTATGCCACTTAACACACACACACGGGAGATAGAATGAAGACAATTATTATCAAATACAGCTAGCCTATTCACGTCTTTCACTCTCAGTTGCAAGGTCTCATGGCCATAAAGGAGGATGGAGAAGACTGCCGAGCAGTACCCACGCCCTCTATTCGACAACGGGACATCACGTCTAAGCCAAAGACGGTGTAAACTGGTATACGCGAAACAAGCCCTCTGTATACGTCCTGAGATTTCGTCAGCAGTAAATCCACCAGGGCTGGCTGATGCAGCTTCCCAAATAAGTGAAGTGGTCAACACGTTCTACCAATTCACTTTCTATTTCTGAACTAGCAGTCAATATAGTTCAGTCCTTTAGCATCATGTTGCATTTGATGGGAGCGAATCGCATGTCAAACATTCGCAGATTGCAGCTCAGGATGTTCAGAAGGCTCTGAATTTTGTCATCGTCTTCACCTAGAAGGAATGTATAATCTGAATCAGCGAGATAGTTTCCTGGTGGAAACAATTCATTCCCTAAGTCGCTGAAGTGAATTAGGCTACATCTATGGTGAAATTGAATAGAAACGAGGATATTGGGCATTGCTGATGGACACCACTAGTTGTTACCGATTCAGATGACAACTCGCCGTATGCTCTCACCTGAATTTATGAGTTCGAGGGGAATGCCTTGATCAGTGCAACGTATTTTCTCGGTCCTCCCTTTAGAGCTAAGCATCACCATAGCACAAGATATTCCTATCTGTGTTAACAGAAGCATATGCGTTTAGGTGAAGGGTTTGACTGGTTAGTTAATAAGTTAGCTAGTTACTTGCTCACTTGTAAGCCTGATTCTTTACCAACTAACTAACTCACATACTTAGCTACTCAATAGCCTACTTATTTACTCCCTTCACCACTTACATACCTGCTTACTCGCTCACTTTACTCACTTGTCCACTTACTTTATTACTAAATTAGTCACTTACGTACTCACTCATTAATTTATTTTAAAAATTTTTTCCTTCACGTTCCCCAGTGGAACATATGGCCTCAAGCTAGTGGCTTGAAGTTTCTGTAATCGTGTTTATTTTTACAGAACGGGGTTGCTAGCCTCAAGCCTAACCTTCACTTTTTATCAGTCTTATTACTGGCTTAGCTAGGTAAAGGAGTGCGTCGGCCGGGGATAGAACCTCGTACCATGTGCATGGTCGGCAAGCGTTCTAACCGCTATGCCACAGACTCAATTATTAACCTACCTACTTATTTACTTACGTACTTGTTTACTTGCTTACCGATTAAATTATATACTAACCTATTCACTTTATCATATTTGAAGTTTTAAAAAATGAAGCTATACGGGATACAGATTGTAGACTTTATTTTTCTCAGACATATTCACTGTTATTTAATGCTGAACACACGAGGAATTCAGACAATTCACTCCTTCAACTTAAGCATCTACTTTTAAGGTTCCCTTCTGTTCCTTGTTAGAACTAATAACTGAAATCTCTTGTATTTAAATGTCAAACATCTGTTGACTAAATTTCAGGTACTACTTATTACTGAGGGGAATTAGGACCCCGGCCGATAAATGCTACCTTGTCGTGGTGGTCGGGCTTGAATACCATAATGACCCAACAAGTTAAACTGACTGGGACTCTGCCCCTGCAGGTCCTATCATGTCATGAAGGTTGTTTGGATAGCGGTTAAACTAAAAAGCAGTTACCATGATGTACATGGGCTCCAGTATTCAA